CTTTTTAAAAAAATTCTTTTTCTTTTCTCTGCCGTTTGTTTCAGTAGTTTGTTGCGTGCCATCAAAATACTACACGTGCCGCGTGTGTGTGTTAATGCCGTTATGTTTCCATTTCTAGAGACTCTTACCTTCTCCCACCATTGATGGAATCTTTGAGCGCGTTCGTGATTGCTCATGAACTCTTGAAACTGACGATGCTTGGACTGCAATGTCGTGCGCAGAGAGGCAACTTCCCTACATAAATTTTCTACCTAGTACCACACACACACAGATATCGATGCATTAACAAAAAAAGATAACTGAAAAAAAAAAAAATATATAGTTTTAGACGCGTGTTCCATTCTTTTCCTTCCTTCCTGTCTTTTTCTTTTCTTTTCCTTTTCGTATCTTTTCTCTTTTCTTTTTAATATGTAGCCTTAGACGAGAGATGAGCTTTTTCTTTTGGAATTTACAGGCATGAAGTGAACAACAAGTGAAAGATGAAAGTTTCAAAAGTCAAGTCGCGAGCAGTGTATAGGATGATACTCTGTTTATCTGTTTATCGGAGAGAAGAACAACGTTGAATGGATAGAAATAAAAAAAAAAAAAAAAAAAGAAATAAAAGCATGCCACTGTCTTATGCACAAACGAATAATAAACGTAAACTGGAGGGGACTACGTGACGTTATTGCAGAGATTGCAGTTCACACGAGATTTAGATTTAAAGGTTCCGGTGGAATTGTAAAAAATAAAAAAATAAAGAGTAAATGTAGTAATTAATGGGAGAGGGGAACAGAAACGAGATGAGATAATCGCGATAAATACATTACCTTATGAAATTCGGTTAGTTAGGTCTTTATAATCCCACATCAGCACTCGACAAAGTGCACGTGCGGACGTACCCCAACAAAATTGTTAACAAGATACACTGGGTTTGTTAATCGGGAGCGTTCTCTCGACTATACACATATATGATGCTTAACAGTATATGTATGAGAGATATATAATATAGTACAGATAGTAGAAGTGTGCGTGCAAAATATATCATATTGTGGAAGATCGAAGGCCAATTTTTGTAAGAAAAATTTATTAATCAACAGTTCGTATATATGTATATAATAACAACAGTTCTTTCTTCTTTCTCGCATAACAAACCCATATATATATATATAT